CCAGAGGAGTCGCCCCCTGGTGGACACTAGAGAGAATGCAGCCTTAAGACATGAAGCATTGACTTCACTTTGCAGAACCGGAGGTTGCCGCCTGTTCTCTACCACATCTACCGGCATCACAACAGGAAGTCAGTGGCACCAATCACCAAGCTGGATTTGCGTGGTTGACGTGTTTCTGGCGATGCGTCTCGGTGGGATCAGGGCTTAAAAGTAGTGGGTTTATGTAAATGTAAAACTTAAACTAAGACCAGTTCTCTCTTTACTTGTGGCGGTTTCTTTTAGCTCTCTCAACAAACCGTTTGGCAGCGGGATAGTGACTCCTTCAGGAATCCTCTTGAATAGTCAGATCCTGGATTTCTCCTGGCCTAACAAAACACAGGACTCATCACCTAACCCGGTAATCCTGCATTCTGTCTCTTTATTTAATTATTAACAGCATTCATTTATTGAAAGAGTTGTCGTAGCTGCTCTCAGTCCTCATGTCTTTTGTTTTGTTTTGTTTCGCTGCAGCATAACAGCCTCCAGCCTGGGAAGAGGCCCATGTCCTTCCTGATGCCCACAGCAGTGAGGCCCGCCCTGGGGCTGTGTGGCACTTATGTAGCCGTTGGATCTTCTAATGGAGAGAAAGCTCTCAGTGGCATCACACAGGTCTCTCTCTTTCTCTCTCGGTTTGTCTGTCTGTCTTTCTCTCTCTCTGTGGAAATACGTTGTATCTTCTCTATATATAACTCTGTGTTATTCTATATATGTATATTCTGTTTTATGATCCTTCACAGGTGCTGATGAACGTTCTGTCTTCGCGTAAGAACATGAGTGACAGCTTGGCATATGGGAGACTCCACCCTCACCTGCAGCCCAACACCCTCCTGGTGGACTGTGAGTTCTTCCTGTCGATCCTTCTATTGCCCAAACATAACTGAGTCACCTGTGATTGTAGTGTTTAGGGTAGATTGGCTGTTTCATTTAATGTTCTAATATGTCACTTCCTGCTTTAAACATGCAATATGCAACAGGATATTCCTTTAAGATAGAGAACAATGCAGTAGTTCCCTTGTGCCAGTGTTTACGTTGTCACTGGATCACATGTTTGTTTACATTATGCAAAGTAGATGAGTAGCTCGGGGGGGCGGGGGCAGGTGTAGGGTTTCAATGGCACAGTAAAATGCCTTCTTGACTTCCTGTGCTGTGGAAAGATTAATCTCCTGTGTGTCTTAAAGCTGCATTCTCTCTACTGACCATCAGGGGGCGACTCCTCTGGTTGTATAACCCTAGCCCTTTCACAGTGTGTTTTCACTTCAGGAAAGTTAATAGTAACATTTTCGATCGTCAGAATGTCTTGTTATTCAGCGTTTTGTTGTACTTGGCTCCGCCCTCTCGTGTCACTCCTGGTAGCAAAAAAACAAGATGGCGACGGCCAAAATGCAGAGACGTCATGGCGACTACGTCCACTTTTAATGTACAGTCTGTGATCCTCTTTCTCTCTCGCAGCCGAGTTTGAAGACGAAGACGTGGAGCTGCTGCAGGCCAAGGGTCATAAGGTGGAGAGGAGAGATGTTCTCTCATTGGTGGAGGGCACCCGGAGAACCAATGACCTCATCATAGGGGTGAAAGACCCCCGCAGTGCCGATGCCTCCGCCCTCACCATGTCCAACATGCCCTCCTGCCCCCCCCCCCCCCCCCCCCCCCCCCACCCTCCTCTATTGCCCCATAATCACACATAATGAAGTAGAGGTAAGAGTAACACTGTCGACATGTAGGAGTCTGATCCTCCGGTAGATTATTTTAGCTGACGACAGAGGATCAGCGTCTCACACAGCGATGCCGTCACACAACACACTCCGTAGTGTTTCAAAGTGTTCGTTCATCGCTTAACGGCTTCAGTCAACATCTTTATCACGCAGAGCAGAACTTCATGAAGTCAGATCCAACGGCACTTCAGGCCCACTTAAAAGAAAGAGATGCTCTCTCTCTCTGTCTCTCTCTCTCTCTCTCTGTCTCTCTCATTCTGTCTCTCTCTCTCGATACACTCGAGAGGTTTAGAGTGGATTCACCCAGTGGATGTGAGAGATGCTGGTTTTTGGCTGTTGTGATAGTGAGACGAGTGTTGTTTTTATGATTATAGGATCAAATGAAATTTAACGATGAAGAAATTGTTTCTTTGCACAAAATGGATAAAAACGGTAATGAAGCCACACTACTTACAACACGTGCATGCTTTGCGATTCTTCCACTGCCTTTCACCATCATTTGAAGTGACACGTGAGATCACATGGGATGGTGGCGGTGATAATATTTACACTAGTGATTCAAGCCTTTGCATTGTCACACCTGAACTAAACCATTCTGTGTCCTGCTCTTTATGTGGCATGTAACTGTGATTAGATGTTGTTTGGTGCAGCTGCTGGAGTTTTAACCCATCAATCCAATGGCTCCTCGGGACCATGTTCAGAATCAGCCACTGATTTTTCTTAAACGACAGAATTTGTTACATTTTCACAGGTTAAATGGCACTGAATATGTGTATTTTAATATATAATTTATGTAGCTGTTGCATGATTTTGTTCTCATTTTAAAGTACTCGCTTACATTTGTATTTTTTTATTTAGAGCAGGGATACTTGTTTTTAGAACAGGAATAAATCGGATTATTTACTGATGGATTGAATGTAATCTGTCTTGTTTTTATATGAACATTTGTTGGGCTGTATAAATTATTTCTTCTATTTTTAACAATGCAGCATTTTAGACAATGCTGTCATGTTTTTTTCTGTCCACTTATTTTAGGCAGTATGTTTGAAGTAAGAACAGCCTTTTGTAAAGCATTGCATTCTTCCGGTATGGCTCATGCTGACTGATCAATTGAGCCTGTTGTTTGGGCACTTGTGCAATATGACGCTTGTTTCCTGTACCGTAGAGAACCAGAGCCTTAAGGGACACATTGGCACACCTGATGTTTGTTTTCACGTGCATTTGTATCTGATTTTAATTTTAAAAAATCAGCACCATCCAAACTCAAGAAATAAAATGTTTGCACACATCCCAATGTTGAAGTGTTGACCCTTTTTGTGCACATTTGGTGCATCTGACCTGGCTTTATATAACCTGTTATTAATAAATGATAGTGTCCAATGAATATGCACACAAATCAGGATTCTGTTGCAAACATTTATTTAGAGGCATCAGCAATTAAACTCAAGTGTTTTAGATTGATTCAGAGAGAGAGAGAGGACCGTAGAAAACTGTAAACTTTGAATTCACTTCAGAAAACAAGTCATTTTAAGATATTAACATACATTAAACATTTTAATATAAATATGAAAAAATGCTTTCAACTTTACTTGATTTGTGTCTTAACTACTTAATATTCCTTATTTTTGTTTCACTGCTGAAATGTTTTGTTTTACTTAAAAGGGACGTTGCTTCTTCTTCTTCTGGGATTTTATTTTGAAAAGCAACACCAGAAACAGTTTTGTTCTTCCCGCTAGCTTGACGTCGCTTCTGACGTTGTCTGTGTTTCATGTTTTGTTAGCTAATCTGAGCTAGCTAGATGTCGACTGGACGAACTTAATCAACAGATGAATATATGCGGTAAGTCGTTCGCGTTTGCAAATGCATGAATCTTACCGCGAGCGTTGTGTAGCAAGTTACGGTAAAAACAACCGAGAAGCTAATACGTTGTGTTTCAATGCATTCACGATGAATTAACTGCAGTGGCTACTTAGCTAACGCTAGCATTTAGCTAACTGGAGCTTTCGGAGACGCCAGCAGGAACCGCCTTTGACATTCATTTTATAAATCCTCTTTCATAGTAAGATGACTGATAGAAACGTAGTTATTCGTGGTGCGTGTTCGTATCAGAACAATTACATGAGAATAGTGGACATATTGTGTTCTTGATTTCTTTACGTTAGCCGACGTCTGCGCTGAGGCCCAATGCTACATCCAATGCTACATCCAATGCTAATAGCCAAGCTAACCAACGGTTGATTTATCCACCGTAACGTCAACTGACGTTAATTAATTAAGCTCTCTCTGTCTCGCTCTCTCTCTCTCTCTCTCTCTCTCTCTCTCTCTCTCTCTCTCTCTCTCTCTCTCTTTCAGCATGAAACGGTTCAAACCCCACTCCTAGTCAGAGGGGGAGGATGGCTCATCGATGTTCCCCACCTTTGCCTTCTTCGTCCCAGAGGACCGAGCACCTGGAGCCGGATAACGACTCCGACGGGGACTCTGGTGTCGGGGAGGATGCTGACAGTTGCCATGGAGGAGCAGCAGCAGAAGAAGAAGACGAGGAAGTCAACAAGCGAAGGGAGGGAGAGGGTTCTGCCGTTTTTATCGCCTTCCAGGGGAATATGGAGGATGAGGACTTCTCTCAAAAACTCGAGTCTATCCTCAGTGGCATACCAAACATGCTTGATATGGGTTAGTTCAAACTCTTATTTACTCACATTTGGCACTGAAGATGCAACTTCTATCCATTCATTGTCCCTTTTTTTTTTTTTTTTAGGCTCTGAGAGGCTGCAGCCACAGCATGTGGAGCCGTGGAACAGCGTGCGGGTTACCTTCAACATTCCTCGGGATGCTGCGGAGCGGCTCAGGCTGTTGGCCCAGAACAACCAGCAGCAGCTCAGAGACCTGGGGATCCTCTCTGTGCAGATAGAAGGTAACAGCGCAGCCTTCAGTCTCCAGCTCACTTCAGAACAGGATGTGTGTGTCTTAAGAATAAATCATATAAACAAGACCCAAGTAGATGTCAGTTATACGTGTCCCCTCTGTTGTCTTTCAGGAGAAGGGGCCATCAACGTGGCTGTGGGACCAAACCGGGGACAGGAAGTCAGAGTGAACGGACCAATTGGAGCAGCTGGCCAGATGAGAATGGATGTTGGCTTTCCAGGTCAGCCTGGTCCAGGTATTAGTTTACTGGATTGATTACACATGATCTCTGGTACAAACTAACTGAATCTGTGCCTTCATGTTGGACGGTAGTTATTTTGGTAGGACAAAACGATGTAATACGCACATATTTCCATTAGGAGTGGTGAGGATGGCTAACCCGGCGATGGTTCCCCCTGGACCCGGCATGGCGGGTCAGGCGATGGTACCAGGCAGCAGTGGACAGATGCGTCCTCGTGTTCAGAGACCTTCTTCACAGACAGGTTCAGGTCTTTATTTCTTGTACGTCAAGTGATGCATGTTGTAATTTTGAATATCTCACAGCATGGACAGTACAAGAATGGGTAAAAACAATTACTGCATCCTCCTCTCCAACAGATGTTATGGATCCGATGATGCCGGGTATGTCAGTTCAGCAGCAACAGCAACTTCAGCACCAACAGGCTGGTCCCCCCCATGTCTCAGGCCCAATGCCCCCTCAGGCTGCCCATCACATGCAGGCTCTGCAGGGCGGGAGACCCCTCAACCCCGCCGCCCTGCAGCAGCTTCAGCAGCAGCAACACCACCAACAGCAGCAGCAACAGGCCCAGCAGCAAGCTCAGCTGTCTCAGCTTGGACCTAGACCTCCGTTCAACCCATCAGGTCAGATGGCTGTGCCTCCTGGCTGGAACCAGTTGCCCTCTGGGGTCCTCCAGCCAGCAGCCCCCCAAGGAGGCCCTGCCTGGAGAAAGCCGCCACCGCAAGCCCAAATGGTTCCACGTCCTCCCTCTCTTGCTACGGTTCAGACTCCCAGCCACCCTCCGCCCCCTTACCCATTTGGCAGCCAGCAGGCTGGGCAGGTGTTCAATGCCATGGGTCAGGGACAATTACAGCAGCAACAGCAGCCAGGAGTGGGTCAGTTTGCCGCCCCCCAGCCTAAAGGCCTACAGGTCGGCCCTGGTGGTGTCGCGGGACCACCCAGACCCCCTCCGCCCCTTCCACCAACTTCTGGACAGCAGGGCAACCTCACTGCCAAGTCCCCTGGTTCCTCCTCGTCTCCTTTTCAGCAGGGTTCGCCGGGGACTCCTCCCATGATGGTTCAGAGACCGACGACTCCACAGGGTTTCCCCCAGGGCGTCGGATCACCGGGAAGAGCCGCCCTCGGGCAACCGGGTAACATGCAACAAGGTTTCATGGGAATGCCCCAGCATGGACAGCCTGGGGCCCAAGTTCACCCAGGTGGGTTATTGTTGATAATCGTCTCTCGGTAGACTGAAATCCAATCAAAAGTTGTGTTTTCCCTCCTTATGTGTGCTTTAGTATGTTATGTTGAAGTACTCTGATGTCTGCAGTAACAAACGAACACTGATTACAGGCATGCCGAAGCGTCCTATGGGCTTTCCAAACCCAAACTTTGTCCAAGGTCAGGTGAGTGCCAGCACCCCAGGAGCCGCTGTTGGAGGAGCCAATCAGCAGCTACAGAGCAGCCAAGTGATGACTCACACAGGTAAAACATTCACTGTTTACCCAATCACAAAGATCTCATGTAGAAAGGACATGTACTAAGGCTCGATATCTTACATTTGAAAAATAAACTCCTACTATCTGTAGGAAATGCTCTTTGACTGAAAACTAAAACGCATGACTACTGAATAATAAACACTACTATAGTCCCAATGTGTGAATCACTACTATACTACTAAATATGAACTACTTAAATACATAAAACGTTATTTTCCCCTCAGATAGATGCAATTATAGCACCACGCTTAACATTCATTTATAAGCTAATTTCTGAGATAGTAGTGACACAATGAATATCTGTAGCCTGAAGTTCATCAACAGCACAGCTAGTGGACTAATTAAGAATAATGGACTGAACTGGCTTTTCTGTTTACCGGCCACATAAACCACCACCATCAGGAACATTTATTACAGCTTCATCCAGTGTTCTTTAGATTGGACTTCAAGCCTCACAGTGATTAAGATCTTAAGTCTTAATTTAGAATGTTAAAATAATAATTTAAAATATTACTCATGCTTGTTTCTTGGTAATGCATGAATCAAACTTCAACACTGTCGGAGGAACACAAACGTACAAGATTGCAGAATTGTTCTATGAAACTCAACGACGGTGTACTTGGAAGATTTGGTCCTAAATGTTTAGATTTAGTTGCTAAAAACTTTGCAATGAATCATTTGCCCTCATGTGTGTTTTATCAATTAAAATCTATATATAAAACATGGAAACAAAACAATTCTTATTTTCAGGTCATTATACACCAATGAAACATAGTTATGAATATTATATTCCATTTCTGCCAATTAATCCCCCGAAATGTTCCCTTTAATGAACTGCTTTGGTGTGTAAACAGCCTCATTTGAGACGCTATGGCTTAACCTGCGGTTAGCAGAGCACATGTTAGCTTATTACCGGTGTTTTCTTTCCTCTTCGTTTTACAACAGGAGCTCCGCCGTCAGCCTCTGCACCAAACTCGATGCAGGGTCCACCCCACGCCCAGCCCAATGTTATGGGTGTACAAAGTGGCATGGCCGGTCTGCCCCCTGGTACAACCGCTGGGCCCGGTATGGGCCAGCAGCAGCCTGGTCTCCAGACCCAGATGATGGGCCTCCAGCATCAGGTCCAGCCCGTGTCTTCCTCCCCCAGCCAGAAGGTTCAAGGCCAGGGTGGAGGTCAGACTGTCCTCTCAAGGCCCCTCAGTCAAGGGCAGAGAGGAGGGATGACCCCACCCAAGCAAATGATGCCTCAGCAAGGCCAGGGGGTGATGCATGGGCAGGGTCAGATGGTTGGGGGCCAAGGGCACCAGGCCATGCTCCTGCAGCAGCAGCAGCAGCAACAACAACAACAACAGCAGCAACAAAACTCCATGATGGAACAAATGGTTGCCAACCAGATGCAAGGCAACAAGCAGGCATTTGGAGGCAAGATTCCAGCTGGAGTCATGCCCGGCCAGATGATGCGTGGCCCTGCTCCAAACGTTCCAGGTAACATGGTTCAGTTCCAGGGCCAGGTTGGCACTCAGCAGATGACTCCACAACAGCAGCAGCAAATGGCTCAACTCCAACAACAGCAGTTACAACAGCAGCAGCAGCACCAGTTGCAGCAACAGCAGCTGCAGCAGCAGCAACAGCAACAACACCAGCAGATGAACCAGCAACAGCCCCAGCAGGTTCCTATTGCTGGCAACCCTAATCAGGCAATGGGCATGCATGGGCAACAGATGAGGCTCCCTGCTGGTCATCCTCTTATCCAACAGCAGTTGCTACAGCAGCAGCAGAAACAGCAGCAACAGGCCATGTTACAACAGCAGCAGCAGCAGCAGCAACAACAACAACAACAACAACAGGCAGCTCAACAGCACCCTCATCCTTTGGGAGATCCTAATAGTGGGACAGGGGACTTGGGGGTCCAACAGATGGTCCCTGATATGCAGGCGCAGCAGCAAGGCATGATCGGGGGCCCTCAGCACATGCAGATGGGAAATGGCCACTTTGCAGGTCATGGCATGAACTTTAACCCACAGTTCCAAGGTCAGATGCCGATGGCGGGAGCCTGCGTACAGCCAGGAGGCTTTCCCGTCAGCAAGGATGTAACGCTGACTAGCCCACTGTTGGTCAACCTGCTGCAGAGCGATATCTCAGCCAGCCAGTTTGGACCAGGAGGAAAACAGGGAGCAGGTGCGGGCAATCAGGCCAAACCCAAAAAGAAGAAACCGGCACGAAAGAAGAAGCCCAAAGAGGGAGAGGGACAACAGCAAGTCGAGGGACTTGGGTAATAATTTATATTTCTTACAGGTTTGTTTTTGTCATGGTGGACGGTTGAAGAAAGTTGTTTCTCTGTTCCATTAATTCATTGATTCAGAACCATCTATTTATTCTCTTAGTGGTCTTGATGTGGCTGCTGGCATGGAGGATTCCGAACTGCCAAATCTGGGTGGGGAACAGAGTTTGGGTTTAGACAACTCCGGCCAGAAACTCCCCGAGTTTGCCAACAGGCCTGCAGGTAAATAACATAGCATTAATCTATTTTGGCAATTATTTTGAATCTGCATTCAGTTGCTGATTCTTATAGTTGTAGCAGCTTGGCAGTACGCTCTCTACATTTCTCTCTCTACACTTTATCTAGGCTTTCCTGGCCAGCCTGGAGACCAGAGAGTATTACAGCAGGTACCAATGCAATTTATGCAGCAGCAGCAGCAGCAACAACAACAACAACAACAACAACAACAACAACAGCAGCAGCAGCATCAACAACAACAAATGCAGCACATGCAACAGCAACAGATACAACAACAACAACAAATGCAGCAACAGCAACAAATACAACAACAAATGCAACAGCAGCAAATACAGCAACAACAGCAGCAACAATTACAACAACAGCAGCAGCAGCAGATGCAACAGTTGCAGATGCAAGGTCTCCAGAATACTCAGGGGCAGCAGGTGATGACGGGGCCACAGACTTCAGGTCAAGGCCAGCCTCAGATGCACCCTCACCAGCTGCAGCAGCAGCAGCAGCAGCAGCAGCAGCAGCAACAACAACAACAACAACAACAACAACAACAACAGCAGCAGCAGCAAACTCAACAGCCACACCTGCTACAACAGGTATTATTATTCTCTTTGTGTACCGTAATGACAGTGTTTGGTATCAACACAATTGTACGCAGTTTATCTATTCATACTTAAAGGTGCAAAATTTGAAATGCAGAGCATGTCTATGATTTGGGGGATTGCCCAACATGGCTCTCAACCTGGAGACGGCTGAGCCAGCGACTAGCAGCTAACTGTGCTAACAGCACGAACCTATAACGGCAACGCTGCTGACAGAAATAACCGTTTTAACGTGGGCCTATTTTGTATAATCCTTAGGCATTTTAGTGCTTTTATCAGTGAACTATTTGCGATAGTCACGTGATCGTGCCAAGTTACAAAAATTCAGAGGTGCACGACCACTTGCACCACGGCCGTGATTACGGAATTTTCTGCTGCACGCCGGCTTCACTACCACGAGTAAAAACTTAGCTTTATACTTCCATGACTCCGTTGTGGGTTTGGAAGGCATTATCAGTGGTAACCGTCATATGAGCGCAGACTCAGCGGCGGCTATTTGCTAACCAGTGGGGGGCACACACACACACACGAGACACCGGCTACATAACGAAACCACAGAACAGCTCTAATATCAACACACACAAAGAAAGGGCGACTTCATTCTCTGCTCAGGACGCCGCTACTCTTCTATAGCTTTACATAACAAACAGTTGTTTACTGCTATTTTAATCCTCTGTTTCTAATGTAGCACCTTTTTTAATGGTGATCCCCATTTTGCATTTTAGCAACAACAACAGCAGCAGATGATGATGATGCTGAAGATGCAGCAGGAGCAGGCAAAGAATCGCATGTCCATCCCTCCCGGAGGGCAGATCCCTCCTAGGGGTATGGGCAATCCACCGGAGGTGCAGAGGCTTCCTGTCTCACAGCAAAGCAACATGCCTGTAATGATCAGCCTTCCAGGACATGGAGGGGTACCGCCGTCACCTGACAAAGCAAGAGGGATGCCCCTGATGGTGAACCCACAGGTGAGGGCCATGTGCTGCAGCATGTGTAAACACAATATTACTTGTGAGAGCACAGTTGTCTATTTTCTTGGGAGTGACATTGTACGTTTTGTATTCCATTCTAGCTTGCAGGAGCTGCGCGAAGAATGTCCCATCCTGATGGAGGGCAGGGTCCTCAAGGCACTGGATCTGAAGAAGCCATTGCAGGGGCTCACCCGAAGCAGCCTGGCGGCCCAGAAGTTGGGGTGCAGCATCCTGGAAATGGAACCCAACAAATGATGGCCAATCAGGTCTCCAACGCTCACATGATGAAGCAAGGCCCTGGTCCATCACCAATGCCCCAGCACACCGGAGCCAGTCCCCAGCAGCAGCTACCTAGTCAGCCTCAGCAAGGAGGCCCCATGTCGGGCCTTCATTTCCCCAATGTCCCCACAACCTCACAGAGCTCCAGGCCCAAAACCCCCAACAGAGCCAGCCCCAGGCCGTACCACCATCCCCTCACCCCGACTAATCGTCCACCCAGTACCGAACCCTCCGAAATCAACCTTTCACCTGAGAGGCTTAATGCCTCTATTGCAGGGCTGTTTCCTCCCAAAATCAACATTCCTCTGCCTCCCAGGCAGCCTAACCTAAACAGGGGATTTGATCAGCAAGGTCTTAACCCGACAACTCTGAAAGCCATTGGGCAGGCCCCTCCTAGCTTAAATTTACCAGGCAACAACAACAACAACGGCAGTGTGGGTGGAAATAACAGTCAACAGCCGTTCTCTGCTGGAGCTGGAGTAGGAGGTGTAGGCGCTAAACAGGACAAGCAGCCTGGAGGCCAGGCTAAGAGGGCGAGTCCCAGCAATAGCCGGAGGTCCAGTCCAGCCTCGAGCCGTAAGTCGGCCACCCCAAGTCCAGGGAGACAAAAGGGGACAAAGATGGCCATCAACTGCCCTCCGCCCCAGCAGCAAATGGTTAACCCTCAGGGGCAAACCATGATGCTAAGCCCTACCTCAGTACCCCCAAATCCAGTATCTATGCCGTCTCAAGTGAGTGGGGCCGTAGAGGCACAGCAGACCCAGAGCCCCTTCCACGGGATGCAAGGTAACACCGCTGAGGGAATCAGGGAAAGTCAGGGAATGATGACAGCAGAGCAGCGACAGATGCCTCAGCCACAGCCTTTGAGGGAGTTATCAGCTCCCAGAATGGCAAGTCCTCGTTTCCCGTTGCCTCAGCAGCCTAAATCTGACTTGGAACCGAAGGCCGGCGCAGTTGATAGGCTCCCGGGGCAAACGGCACCTTTGCAGGACTCCGAGGCCTCGCCTACTCTCAGGGCAGCGCCAACCTCCCTCAACCAGTTGCTGGATAACTCGGGTATGGCAAACATGCCTCCTCGGCCCGCACAGATTAGTACTGTTAGGGATGTTATGGGAAAGGACAGCCCCAAGTCTGCTTTGGATCCAGAGAGACCGCTCCACAGTAATACCCAGAGCACAGATGTGTCAGCTGCTGTCGCTATAAATGTATCGGAAGCTAAACCCAAAACTGCTGTCCCAATCCCGACCAGTAGTCCTAATTTGCATCCTGCCTCAATTTCCAGCTCGCACCCTAGCACTAACCCAACCTCTAATACTACCCCCAGCCTTAGCCAGAACCCCATCTCAAGTCTCGGTGTCCACCCCAGTCCAAATGTAAACCCAACACCTACCATCTGCACCACCCTCAGTACTAACACGAATGCCACCACGAGTGGAAGCCCCAACCCAGTCACTTCCAGTCAAAGCAGTCCCGCCTTGACTGTCAGCACCAGTTCTAACTCCAGCTCAGCTCCGAAACCTAGTCCTAAACCGGTGACAAGTGTTCACTCGGTCATACAGATCCCTGCCTCTTCGAGTGCAATTTCCCCCAATCAGATCACTGTGTTTGTCACCTCTAACCCCATAACCCTTCCCCCTCCTCCCCAGGCACCCACATCTATGGCCTCCACCATGGTGGCTGTCCCCAACAAGAACATTAGACCTCAGGACATCCGGCAGCAGGCCCCTGTCCCCCGCCCTCCTCAGTTTATCACCGCCACCCCTGTATTTATCAACTCAAATTTCCAGGTCCCCGGTGCATCTGTGGCTCCCAATACCACAATGGTGTCACAGTCAGTCACGATGGTGGGGCCTATCAAAGTGTCCGCTGCGAACATCCAACTTTCTCCTGCCCCGAGCTCCACCCAGTCCTCGGGGGCTAGCATGACCAGCACTCAGCCTACCAGGAGTGCTGTTGGACAGGTCCAGATTGCCACCAGTGTGTCCTCATCAGTCCCAGTTGGTACTCCGCCAGCACCTCAGCAAATTAACCCAGGGGCTCCCAAAACAGAAAATCTAGGTGAGGCACTTTCTGCTCAAAAACCTAGTCCCCCAGTACGGCAGCTGTCTCCCCATCCCAGCCCTTCGGCATCATCTCCCTTCCAGGCACCCCTGGCTTCTCCTCCTCTCTGCTCTAGTCCCGGGGCTGCTAACGCCATCCGAAAGAGCCCCATGTCGCCACCACCCGCTGCCCAGGTGAAAGGTAAACCTGCACAGGCGGTTGTGTCTGGTACAGCTGACTCCCAGCAGAGTCCTGTAGAAAGGCCTGCGCAGGGGCCCACCGGAGCGGTGCCACCACAGGCCTTTCATCCTCCTGCTAGTCCTGCCATCCAGATTGAAGTACTGGCTCCCCATACTAGTGCTGCTGCTTCGAACAACATTTCTCCGCCTGCTGTCTCCTCTCCATCCCCAGCTCCTGGCCAGGTGGCTGTTCCCACTCAGATTATCACCCAGGCTCCAGTGCCCGCACCAGCTTCAGTCTCAAACCAGGCCCAGGTTGGACCTTCTCAAGCTCCTACAGTCACTGTAGTCGGTGCCACCACAGGTGTCTCGTCTGCTACTTTGCTCTCTACGGTTGCTTCCGTACAAAGCCCCATACCGTCCATTGTTCCAATTATCGCTGGACCTGGACCTGCTCTGGAGGTTGCCCCCACCACATCCTCTCCAGCTGCAAACCCCAGCGGAGTTCCACCAGCTCAGCCTAACACCCCAGCTGTGGAGCCCCCCATGCTGCCAGCTGCTGCATCTGTAGAAACCACTCAGACCACCCCAGGTAAGCACACAACTATCAAGTTAACAGGATAACGACCACTTTATGTCTGTACTGCTTGGTCCGGTCAATCAGCTTTCATGTAACCTCAAAGCTAGGGTTGGTAATCTTGAGGGTATGCTCGATTCAAAAAATGATCCAACGGAGAACAACCGAGCCCAGTGTTGCCAACTCTTTTCCAATGACAGCAGCTCGCAGCACTAGCTCCAAAAGTGGCTGAATCTAGCAAGAAAGTCTCCAAGTTGTCAACACTTCCCTTCCCCCAAAGTTATCATTATGACCGTAAACAACCAACATGGCTGTTGTTAGTACCAGGTGGCAACCGAAGAGTTTCTTAAAACATGCATTCTCTCTACTGACCAGCAGGGGGCAAGTCCTCTGGTTGCAAAAAGAAGATTCTTCTTGTTTAAAAAGGAGAAACTGTTGCAAACTGGAGGAGAGATGGTTGTGCAAGCCTTATGCTCAACACCGTCTACACATTAACGTATTCACTCTCTGTGTGGTTTTAGTTGAGTCCATGATGCAGATTCCTTGCTGATCATTTGTTACATATTCAAATATTTCAGATAAACTATTTAATTCCCCCCCAGCACCTATTCAACAAGTCCCACCATCCCAGGAACCTGCCGCCAGTGAGAAGACGGGTAAGTCTTTGTTTTAAGGAGTTGTTAAGAAAATCTTGAATCTCATATTAGTCACTTGGGACCAGGTGGCGTAGAACTAACTCTTGTTTTTGTCCCGTTCAGGTGAAGAGGTCTCGACAGGTTCTGAGCAGGGGTAAGATTCCTTAAAAACATTTGTGTTCTTTTTAACCGCGGTATTGTTGATTAGCTTTGTGATGCTTCATGTGCTGGGGGTCTATTAAAGGTGTCCCTTACTGTTATTGATCTGCGAAAAGTTGGCCTAGTCTTAAGAAGCCTGCGCTCTTGACGGAGAGATGCTTAGACATTTCTAACCCAACTGTGAGACTCAGGGAGTTCATTTGGTGAAAACAATGAGCCAGCACTCGGTATGTATGATTGGCATGCAATATAATTATTCTAATGCATGTGAGAAGCTTAAAGGAACCGTGTGGGACATTTAGGGGTTTATTGGCAGATATTGGATATAATATTCATAACTATGTTTTAATCAGTTTATAATCACCCGAAACTCAGAGTCGTTATGTTTTTATTTTTTTAGTAGACTTCTCTGCCGACTGAGACAAAGCGGCAAGGAGGACAATAGGACAGAGGGAGGACAGGGGGAGGGAGAAGGGATAGAGGGCGGACAGAGGGAGGACGACAATAGGACAGAGGGAGGAGGACAGAGAGAGGGAGGAGCACAATAGGACAGGGGGAGGGAGGAAGGACAGAGGGAGGAGCACAATAGGACAGGGGAAGGAGGACAGAGAGAGGACAGAGGGAGGGAGGAGGACAGGGGGAGGAGGAATGACTGATACAGACGAATGTCTATCAGTCATTCTCAATAAACTTCACTTTTCACTCATGTTATTGATTTTATTGACATGTTTGTTTCCCGTGAGATATGAATGACTTTGTTCAGAGACTTTTCTGATGTAAACATTACTGTTGCTGCTCTGGAAACAATATTTAGATATATCTAAATTATAAATCACTTTAATTCTGTTCTGAATTTATTTGTTTTTTCAAAATCATATACATCTTTGTAAAAAACTAATATTGATGAAGCCATGTCTGTTCAGCACAGTTCACCACTGTTTTTCCACTTCTATCACAGATGGGCAAAGAAAAGAAAGACGCCAATCAACTTAGTCCCAAGGTATGTATTTTAACACGCTTTGTGCCGCAAAGACTCGATGCAGCGGTTTCATGTCGACGTAGTGGAAGCAGTCGGGATGGAAGCTGGACGAGGACAAACAGCCGAGTCCTGAGCGGTACTGTATCTTTCACTGAGTGGAGCAGAGGTAACTCGCACCCTTTCTTCTTCAGTAACACGCCCTCGCGTTGTCCTTCCCTCCCTGGTGTCCTTCCTTTGTCCTGTCTGGTCCTCCCAGGGCCGCGGTGGAGAAGCCTAAGGGCCCGAGCAGACGCAGCTCCCGGGCAGAGAAGGAGGTGGAGGAGGAGCCGGTAGCAGACAGCGGCGTCAGGAAGCGATCGGCCAGGCCGGGAACCAGCGCTGCTGTTAAAGGTGACTCTAACACACAAGCACCGTATAAAGGAAAAGGTAGATTATCTATCACTACACGTGGCGAGGGATGGGCAATATATCGACACATAGATTTAGTGATGTCAATGTCTGAAGATAGTCACTTTCTTTTGGTTCTGATAGTTGTCTTTACCCACTTAGTAGTTATATGCACAGCACTGATGATTATTAATAAACAATCTGTGAACGCTACAATAATCAACCTCCCAATAGAGAGCTGCAGGAATGAGTCCTAAAACCAGGAAGTGACTCAGCATTTTTACAATTCCTGTTCCTTCGTCTCCAAGTCGATGTGTGTTTTTAATGGTTTTGGTTAAACGTCTGAAATAAAGTCTGTTCAACACAAGCTGAAGAGATTTTAACGTTTAGTTCTCTGATATAAAACATGTCAGTGAATCTTAAAAAGAGTCTAAATGAGACGACTAAACGAAGTCAGTGCTTCATGTGTTAAAGCTGCATTCTCTCTAGTGTCCACCAGGGGGCGACTCCTCTGGTTGTATAGAAGTCTATGAGAAAATGACTCTACTTCTCTCTTGATTTATTACCTCAGTAAACATTGTAAACATGAGTTTATGGTCTCAATCTCTAGTTTCAAGTCTTCTTCAATACAGCATGATGTTCATTTAGTACATTATGGTCCATTTAGAGTCACACAGACCATAAAGCAGGGGATGCTTTAGGGGCGGGGCTACACAGTGATTGACAGGTCTCTACCAGAGCCGTATACGGTGTCTCTACGTCACTCCTCCTCAGTCCAGATATGGTCACTTCCTAAAAAACACCAACATGGTGATGGCCGTATTCCAAGATGGCCGAACTCGAGGCTTCTAAACATCAGTCCACAAACGAATTGGTGACTGCACAACGACTACGTCCACTTCGTATATACAGTCTAAGGTAGCGAGGTAGACCTTATGTCTTCTCAAATATCGATATTTGGGGAGAACGCAGGCCCAGCCCTGTTCCTGTTCCTCTGACACGTTTCTGTTCTTCTCAACAGAAACTGGAGCGAGCCCCACGCAGGCCAAACGAAGGAAGTCTAAATAGACACAACCAGCGTTGTGTGAAGCCTGTGAACCGTACTGTAAATGTTTCTCTGTGAATCCGTTCCGCTGCCCCCCCCCCACACTCCCCCTAGATTATGAACTCTTCAGTGGAGGAAGAAACCAATGTACAGATTGTGTTTTAAAATAATTATTGTCCATGCTTATCATGTGAGATTGTAGTTAGAATGTGTGCAATACAGTATGTGTTGTTGTTTTCTGTTTGTTTTTATATATATATATTGAATGCTGGATTAATCATGTGAAGACTGACGATGGAGCTTGTCATGATTGTATAATTATGTTGTAAAACTGAATTAAATTTTCTACTGCTTTTTGTCCTGTGACACTGTGTTGAACTGAGTCTAATTCTTATAAGAACTGAATTAAAGTACAATTAATGAGCATAAATAGTGTTGAATGAAGAGAAGCTGGAAGAACACGATGCTCCGGGTGATGTCCTTTATGGATGTAATATATGAAAAGTAGTGCAACTGTAACGCAGAGTATCCACACTTGACTTGGTATTTTGGTTCAGGTAGGCACCACGCAGAGTATTTTCCTCCGTCAGTGTGAGCATGCGCAGTGTGCAGACGCTGGGACTCCATTCGGCAGAGGTTTCCCTGAGCCTCTGCATCCCGAACAGCTGTCCGCTGTGATAATAACTTCACCGGCTCTACACAAACCCCGCGACCATGAGCGCAGATCATGCACACGGGAACTCGCAGGTAACCATGTAGTCAATAAATCATATTTATGTTAATCAGCTTTGTGTTCATTCCTTTGTAATAACTGGAATGTGAATTGTAATTATGTGGAATAACGCTACAGCTAATACAATAAGTTCCTATTTGTATAAACTTTAGGTTTATGTGTCGTGTCATGTAGTTTATTGTTGGCAAAAAAATAAATTCCTGTATTTCCAGGGTTCATTTTGTGTGCCTATTGAAACTTGAATAACCGAGCTTACCGGCATTTCCAAAATTGCAATATTAAAATCGTCTTTTTTCATAATTTCCAGGTCAATTGTGGATCCAAAGGAAGCGGTAGGTCCTCTGTAGAGGCTTCATTTTATCTCTATTCTCTGTGATGTGCAGCCGGACTCGCGATCTGTCTGCTGTTTAGTTCTTTAAAAGGACAGAAATGGCGTCCCAGAGACTAAGTCCCTTCTCCTCCACTCTGTTGCGGCTATTGTTCAAAAAGAGGGTCTGGAATGCACACTTGCGAGCCTCCGATTGTGAATCTGTTTGTGTGCACCGACGGGGCCTGGCGTCGTGTTTATTTTGCATGCTCGGTTTTGACAATATGCGCGTGCAATAACGGTGAATTTTGTAGCCGAAAGTGGCCGATTTGGGGCTGAGGACTTAGTCTCTGCGCCATTTTCTTTTTCTGCGTGCGGCGGCCGAATTGTGTGCCGTGATATGGAGGCGAGAGCTGGGCGTTGATCGGCTCTCCTCGGCCCCCGTATCTCACCAGCAGCAGCAGCAGCAGCAGACACCCGGCCTCCATCTCTGTGCTGCAGGCCTTTACATCCTCACACACATTGGGGGGGGGGACTTCCAAGTCACACAGAGGAGAAAGTTGTATTATTATTAAAAGCATATATATGCATAGAGCAGTGCATTTAATCTGCACGAATCACAGAGTATCCGTTACTCCTGCAAAGTTCAGAGCACTTTCCGTTTTTCTTGGAGGTTTAATTGGTGCCTGATGTGAAGCAGAACACTGTGATTTGGTTTTATTATTATTTGGGGATGCGCCTTACTGTTTCATAGAGCAGATAATAACCAGTTTATTAAAACTGCCATGACAACAGGGCGCCACGAGGTGATGATCAAGCCAAAACGGGTCTTTCTCTCAGCGGGGAACATTTTAATATTAGACTCATGTCAGAAATGATTGTGACAGAGTAATCATCTGAATAGCTGCACTGAGAGAAGCTGAAGGCTTCATCACTGTACAGGTGTGGCCAGAGGATGAAGATGGATTGTAGGTCAGCTTGTAACAGAGAGCACTGGTCAATACAGAGATTTAGTTTATTTTGCTTCCATAACTCGTCTTCTTTCAGAAAACATCAGAAACACACATTCGGGTTTTTATTTTACTATTCTGTAGATTTCTGCTAAATTCACCAAAGGTTACCTTTACATCACGCTTCATTGCATATTTAAACATAACATTTCAGAAAACTTGTAATACATGTTGTGACCCTGTTCACCTGTAGAGTCTCTAAATGTAATGTAACTAAACGTCTCTTTAAAGGACGTTTCCTCTCAATGAGTTTGTTCTCAGACTCTGATGATAAATCTCCACTTCAGCAGCTCTTACATTCATACGTTCATTCCTCTCTGTGTGCTGAAGGTTCACACAGAGGGGTTTGTTCACTCATCACTCACACACTCATTTATACTACATTTATTAATATAAACATGGAGGAAATAGATTTATTTTTATGCCTGTTGACAGTATTTTGTGATTTATTGATTGATATAAAGAGATATCTATAATCCTCTCTGTAAAAACCTTTGACTATTATGTCAACAACATGAAACAAGAATTTTGAACCTGACTTTATCCAATGTTCACATTAAATCATAACATTTTAGAAAACTTGTAATACAAAAAACAACCCCGTTCACTTGTAGACAGATGCTTTTTAAAAATTCTGTCTGCTTGTGTTCTGACACTTCTCAGCTCAAATAAACACAAAGGGGCGTCCGCATTCATTCTCAGAGAGACACGTTTGGCAAAAGAAAGATGTAATGCTGTTGAACAGGTTTCTCTCTCATTTGTGTCGCAGACGCCCACAAACATAAAGACAAGCACAAAGACAAAGAACACCGACACAAAGACCACAAGAAAGACAAGGAGCGAGAGAAGATCAAGCACAGCAACAGGTAGGAGCTCTGCTTCTTTCATCGTGGACTAAACTCCAGTTGTTTCTGCATAGAAACTGATCAATGCAGCTTTCCTACAGCTCCTGAATTGATCATCGTACCTGCTTGCATGTCGGCTTCATATCCTGTTATGAGCTGCAGCTTTTAGCTGTCGAGTCTGAATCTTTAATGACAGAAGTCTGTGCATGTGGGAGCAAACACAAACTTGAGAGAATCTCCCAGGGTGCACTCTGAGGAATAAAGGTGCTAACTAGAACCATGTGAGCCATGGGAACCACATCCAGCAGCGCTGGGCCTCATGAGGTTCCTAAAGGACCGGGCTGATGTGGTGCAGACAAAACCCACAACAATCCTGGTTCAGTTCTTGGGGCTGTGAGGGGGCTTTGACTGTTATGCTTTCAACAAACCTTCAAGAACTCTTTCTTCCAAAGAGGATTTTTTTGGGGGGGGATTGACAAAGTCTCTTAATGGAACCCTTAGTTTCACAAAGAAACCTTCAGTTCTTCAGGAGCAAACGGTTCTCGGTGGAACCTCATCCCTTCAGGAAGAACCCTTAACATTAAGAGCGTAGTGCTGATTTCATTGACGTTAATAGAACCTTGTTATGTTAAATCAGACAACATTCATCTCAACGAGTCCATGAAAGACATCTGCAGAGCATTTGTAGTGTGAGTGTTTGCGGGACGCTGGTCCCGTCTTCTCTTTGTCCCGTTTAAATACTTTTGGGCTGAAGGATGTTTGTCTCCGTTCTTATTGTCATTGTTTGGTAAAAGTAGTTTTAATTGAATACGTCTGGTGGTCGGTGTTTTGTCAACGACATCTTTTTGTGTCTGCACATCTGGACCACGTCTGACCGTCTCACCCTTGACGTCTGACCTCTCAGCGAACACAAGGAGCACTCTGAGAAGAAACACAGAGACAAAGAGAAGCTGAAGCACAGCAACGGGAGCTCAGACAAGCACAGGGAGAAACACAGAGAGAAGAGGAGAGAAGACAAGGTTCGTCAACGGGAAGTCCGCCTGCCTCTCATTTAAGGCCTTTAAGTCTCAATGTTTTGTTTGTTTTCATCAGGACAACATTTCTACTTTGTAACATCAACTTAAAAAATTGTCCAGTTCAAGTTTAGTACATTTGACTTCGTATTTTTCCCCGTTTTCCCGCAGATCAAAACATCCCAAGTAGAAAAGCCAAAAAAGGAGAAAGAGAATGGATATGTGAGGTAAACGGCGTAACGTTGTCCTGTCAGATGTGATAAGAAAGACATGTTGGACAGAAGTGCTTCGTCATTTTTTGGTTATGATCATCGAGATGTTTCGTCGCTAATATTCAGCTCGATGTTTGACGCAGAGAAAGAAGTCCGGCCGCCATCAAGAGCGAACCTGAAGAAGACAACGGCTTCTACTCGTCTCCCCAACACAACAAGACGTCCAAACGAGAGTACGACGATGAAGGGTGGGCGTCTAAACAAGATTTATTTAAACCAGATCTTTATGCTTCCTGTTCTGTCATCTGAGGCGCAGTTCGACCAATCCATACGTTTGTTTTTCAGATTTGAATACAAGCCCAAAAAAGTGAAGACGGAGCACGACAAGAAGGCCAAGAAGAGGAAACATGAGTACGAAGAGGAGGACGAGGACGAGGTGCGTTACGTTTCTTTGTTTACGCTGATTACGTTCTCGTGTGTTCGTGTTCCCCACATTTATTCTGTCCTCTTCACCCTGCTTTAAGGACATCAAGAAGAAGACAAAAGACAAGAAGGCCACGGAGGGAAAGAAAGGGAAAAAAGAGGAGGAGGAGAAGTGGAAATGGTGAGATGATGTTCAGGGACTAAGATTAGATTAGATTAGATAGAAGTTTATTAATCCTGAAGGAAATTCTTGTGCCAGCGCTTCATTAAGATTACAACAGAAGAATAGAATAACAATATAAACATATATGAACAATAGAATAACAATTATTAGGTGTAAAAGAAATAATTAAAATATAATGCAATAAGAGTAAGATAAACAAATACAGAAAAAAGAATTCAACTAAAATAGAAAAAGTAAAATAACACATCACAGATTAAACACGAGAGTAAAAGTAGTGTGTCAGAAGTGATACTAACACTAGAATCGAATAGAAACTACAATAGAAAAGTGATATTCAGCATCATCTTCAGGGTGATACAGTAGAAAGTTATATTGCGCATCGATTAATGAAAATATTATTTCACATTAAATGAAATGTAATATAACACACGGTGTGGTTATTATTGTTGTTATAGATCATTTTTCAGTTGTCCCTCCTGTAGAAGGGGAAGGGGTTATATAGTTTGATGGTCTCAGGTAGAAAAGACTTCCTGTGGTGGTCTGTGGTGGTCTCAGTCCACGTCTGAAGGGGCTCTGAAGTGACTTCAGTGAGGCGTTCAGGGGACGAGAGGCATTGCCCAGAATACTGAGTAGTTTCCTCATCAAAATAGTTTATTTTCCTCAGGAAGTTACACAGCAATTACAGTTAGCTGATGTAAACAGCCACTGAGAAGCAGGGCGGCCATGTTGTCGTCCTTTCTCTCACGGCTGTATGTTCCATGTCATCAGGTGGGAGGAGGAACGAGCCACCGACGGATCCAAATGGCGCTTCCTTGAGCACAAGGGTCCAGTGTTTGCTCCGCCGTATGACTCCATGCCTGACAAAGTCAAGTTCTACTATGATGGTGAGTTCGTCAAACATTTATATTATGTTATTAAAAAACACAGAAATGTGGGTCTCTACGGGTTAATAATAATTACTACAATGTGATTTTCTTTCTGTATTCATAGGTAAGCCCATGAAACTGAATGCTCCTGCCGAGGAGGTTGCTACGTTTTTCGCCAAGATGTTGGATCACGAGTACACCACCAAGGACATCTTCAGGAAGAACTTCTTCAAGGACTGGAGGAAGGTGAGGAAGATGATCTACAGCCGCTGGGACCTATTTGAGTCCGTGCACGCCTCATCAGTCTTCTCTGTCACCTTTTAGGAAATGACATTGGAGGAGAAATCAAAGCTCAGCGACCTGAACAAGTGCGACTTCGGTGAGATGAGTGAGTACTTCAAGGCCCAATCAGAAGCCAGGAAACAGATGTCCAAAGCGGAGAAACAGGTCGGCCTGCGTCCACGCAGACTCTCCCAAACCCCTGAAAACATTACATCACCGTCGTTGTATTTTTGTTTTAATTGTATTTTCATGCACTTTTGCAGAAAATCAAAGAAGAGAACGAGAGACTGCTCCAGGAGTACGGTTTCTGCATCATGGACAACCACAAGGAGAGGATCGGAAACTTCCGCATCGAGCCGCCGGGACTGTTCCGAGGACGAGGAGATCACCCGAAGATGGGGATGCTGAAACGCCGCATCAGACCCCAAGACATCATCATTAACTGTAGCAAGTGGGTAACATCACCGTCACCGGTATCACCGCTATCACCGCTATCACCGCTATCACCGGTATCACTGCCACGGATATTTATCTTTCTTCTACATAGCGTCTGTTTCTGGCAACAATGTCTTGATGTCACCACTCTAACCACCGTTGTTTGATAGACGAGCATCGCCCTTTACTGTTTATTATCTATTTGTTTTACAGGAGACTTGATCTCATAGTTTGTAGGATAGACTATGTAGGATAGTCTGACAGCCGTAACGTTAGAGGACGACAAGATTTTGAGCTTGGGGCTGCACGGTGGTGTGGTGTATTGCACTGGTTTCCCCACACAGGGAACAGGGGCCGGGGTTCGATTCCCGGGTTGGACGGTGTGACGTTTGCATGTTCTCCCCATTGTCAGCGTGGTGTTTTACCCCCAAAGTCATGCAGCTCTGGTTAAGTGATGACTAAATTGCCCGTAGGTGTGAATGTGAGCGTTGACTATATCTGTGTGCCCCCCCCTACTCTATGTGGACCCTGAGTTTATTTCTGGGGATGCACAGGAAGACTTAATGTTGGTGGTACGTCTGGTACTGAGTTTTTACCACAAGGTGGCCCTGTCGAACCGTTGTAGGTGAAGTACATTGTGTGACTAGTGTGTGAGTTATAAGAGTACGGTGTGAACATGTAACAGAATTTATCAAGTGTGTGCTTGTGGAAGTTATTAGTCCGTCAGAAGGACACATGCAGACTCTTTCTTTGTCTTCAGTCCCTGTTCGACCTCTCCTTTTCACTTTCTTTCCTCTTCATCGCCTCCCGTCCATCTTCTAACGGCAATGTTTTGATTTATAGACAGCGGGAAGACTTTTCTTTTTGTGTTCGTCACTCCATACCTAACGGGAAGTGTGTGTGTGTTATAGTACTCATCACAGAGACATGAGCATGTACGGCACTGTGTCAAAGGTAGTCTTCCTGTCAGATTACTGTGTGTGTGTGTGTGTGTGTGTGTGTGTGTGTGTGTGTGAACAATAACATGACCCAGGGAGGCCCACATACTGGTTATAAAGTAGTTTGTTGTACATTTCGCTATTGTCCCATAGCTGTGTTTTTACAATATAATGTTAATCTTAGACTGACCCATTGAAATGAAAAGAAAGCCCAAATATTTTTTAGAGGTACATTTTTTTTTTCAGGTCTGAAATAAATCAGGCGGAAACCTCCGGTTCTTTAAAGTGAAGTCGATGCTTCATGTGTTAAAGCTGCATTCTCTCTAGTGTCCACCAGGGGGCGACTCCTCTGGTTATATAGAAGTCTATGAGAAAATGACTCTACTTCTCTCTTGATTTATTACCTCAGTAAACATTGTAAACATGAGTTTATGGTCTCAATCTCTAGTTTCAAGTCTTCTTCAATACAGCATGATGTTCATTTAGTACATTATGGTCCATTTAGAGTCAAACAGACCATAAAGCAGGGGATGCTTTAGGGCGGGGCTACACGGTGATTGACAGGTCTCTACCATGATTGACAGGTCTCTACCACGTTGATGTCCGGTCTTAAAGTTGTCTGTGTTTTTGTCTTACAACTTTAACCCTTTCACTGTGTTTTCACTTTATGAAAGTTAATCATAACATTTTGGTTGTTATTCTGTCACTACTGCCAAGATGGCGACAGGCGGATCTGCTGACTTTGAGCCTCAATATGACTCTTCAGAAACCTCTGTTGTGACGTCACGGAGACGACGGAGAAAAACATACGTAGGGGACAGATTCCATGCTTATTTCTGGTAAACCTGCCTTTCTTCTGCAGGGACTCCAAGCAGCCTAAACCTCCCCCAGGGACAAAGTGGAAGGAGGTTCGACATGACAACAAGGTGACCTGGCTGGCTTCTTGGACGGAGAACATCCAGGGATCCATCAAGTACATCATGTTGAATCCAAGCTCCAGGATCAAGGTACCCTCAGCTTCAACTCTAAAATAACGGACTTAATCCTAAATGTCAATATTTCTCCAGTTATTCATTGATGGAAACAAAAAATCCAGCGTTTCCCTGTTAAATTAACTGTGTGTGTGTGTGTGTGTGTGTGTGTGTGTGTGTGTGTGTGTGTGT